GTGCATGATGTCATTGTGTCGAGCATGTCACAGCCAAGGCATCCTGGTATTTATGTTGGCCTCAGATCTAGCTCAGAGTACATGGCAGCCTCAATTTATTGCTACTTTAACTTTGTTTAGTCATGGAGAGCTTTTATTTATGTTGGTAAATTTCAAACAGTGGCCAACAGTGACCACACAATGAAAGGGCCTGCAAGATTCATCATCGATAAATCACCTTGTTGCCGAGTTTCTTTAATTAAGGAAAAACTCCGTCTGTTGATCCCTGCGGTTGCTGGAAGGAGAGTGGGGCGGGGAATGCTTTGATTAATCCATCTATCAGCCCAGCCTTGGAAAGTGAGTCTCCTGTTTCTGATTGTAGCTGGGCAAAGACCTAAATAAAAATTTATCTTGTCAAAACCTATGGGCTAACTGAAAGCAAATAAAAAAGTTTTATGACATCCACATAAAGTTAAATAAATAGCCAGAGAGTGCAGCGCGTCCTACGGATGTTCCTCAGCAAAGCATGCGGCTGTTCTGGGAAGGGGGAGCCCAGCAACCTGAAGAAATCACCTTTAATGGGCCACTCGTTATTGTCATCATCCAATGTGCTCCTTGTCTAAGGTTCCAGGCTTTAATCCCTGGTTAAAACCAAAGGCTGGGGCTTGAGACTGGCTGCTGTTTGAATTAACCAGGCTAGAAGGGAAAGTATATGCTGTTTCAAAACAAACAAACAAACAAACAAACACCAATCCAAAATACAAAAAAACAAACCCCAAACCCCAATTCTTCAAGAATTTTATCAAGTATACAGTGTATTTAGATCTTATTTACCCTCCCCCCCCCAACTCTTTCAACTGCGCTTCTAAAGGGGGAAAACGTGGACCTTGCAACTGTCCGGGACCTTTTTTTATTGATCTCTGCCGGGTGGTCACCCTTCCCCTGGTTGTCACAGTATGGGGGGGGGAGGGTGCAGCAGTAGGGGATTTTTGTGTCTGACAGGACCTGGGATTTCATCTCCCTTAGGACCCACCTTTCAGGTGTTGTCTTCCCTTTGCTGTAGTAGTCTAGAGGACCATATTGGGCCAGAGGGCTTTTCCGTCAAGTATAGACTTCTCTCTGGGCGTGCGTGGGCGCCCAGTGCAGTACATTTTATTTCTAGTTAAAAGTGTCTTTGAGCCAAACCAAAGACAGCAGTTGGTACTGAAGGCCAGTGCTGCTACAGGAATGGGCCTAGGATGAGTTGCTTTCCTTTTTAGGTTGTGGTCCAGGCTTCAGGAGCCATTCACAGCAAAGGGCGCTCTCTTGGCACTGGAGGTATCTGGCAACCAGTCTCTGTCTGTCTCATAGAACTGAACGGTCAGTATGGACTCATGGGAGTCAGATACTTCGAGGGCTATCTCCTTGGGATCCTTGGTGCTGTAGACTTCTACTTTGGGGCATGGCATGTGTTGACAGAATAAAGCTGAGTGTGAATGTTAGCTGATGGGAGTGCAGGTCATGGCTTTTTGGTTCCTCCGTCCAGCCTTTCACAGTGGAGTATGGCTCTCACGACGCAGTCCGGTAGTCATGTGTGTGAATGGGAAGCCTGCTCTCCCAGAGTCTAGTTAGGAGAGCAATGGGGAGGGGACCCACATTCTCACTTAACTACCTGGGTCAGGGCCACTGAGCTGGAAGGCTCTGAGTTTCCTCAGATGCCAAGGTATCCCTGGATCTACAACGCAAAAGCTGGCGAGTCCAGGTTTCTGGCCAGCCTTGCTTTAGGCTGGGGCACAAATGTTTGCTCAAATGTGAAACTGCTGTGGAACGGTCTGTATGTCAAATTGCTCTGATTGGTCAATAAATAAAACACTGGTTGGCCAGTGGCCAGGCAGGAAGTAGGTGGGACAAGGAGAGAGGAGAATTCTGGGAAGTGGAAGGCTGACACGGAGAGACACTGCAGCCGCCGCCATGACCAGCAGCATGTGAAGATGCCGGTAAGCCACCAGCCACATGGCAAGGTATAGATTTATGGAAATGGATTAATTTAAGCTATAAGAACAGTTAGCAAGAAGCCTGCCACGGCCATACAGTTTGTAAGCAATGTAAGTCTCTGTGTTTCCTTGGTTGGGTCTGAGTGGCTGTGGGACTGGAGGGTGAGAGAGATTTGTCCTGATTGTGGGCAAGGCAGGAAAACTCTAGCTACATGAAACCATTTCAATGTAAGCTTTATAATTTGAGCCATAGGATTTGGCAACAGATGGATTAAAAGTTTTCCAGACACACTTCATAATGACTGTGTATTAGTGAACTTTTTAATCCCCTCATTTGTCCCAAGATGTCATTCAAGGGTACTTTGGAGCCACTCTAGTTGGCCCTGTACATTGGAAAGGACTCCAGTTTGGTTCAGCATGGAAGTCATAGGTTAACATCAGGGCTCTCGACAGGGTCTAGCAGATACAGGGCAGCAAGAAGACCCCACCTTGTCCTGAGGAGGATTCCAACTTTTTAAAGATTTATTTTATTAAAATTGTGTGTGTGTGTGTGTGTGTGTAGGCCAGAGGAAGGCATTGGGTCCCCTGGAACTAGATTACAGGTGATTGTGAACTACCCTATGTGGGTGCTGGGAACTGAACTCAGGTCCCCTGCAAGAGCAGCATGTGTTCCTAAGCACCAGGCATCTCTCCAGCCCCCTGAGGAATTCTGGTTTCCTTGAAAGATGCCGGCTTTGATGGAGCTCAGGGACTCACTCCCGCAGGATGCCACGGTGAACA